TAAAATAGAGATATTGTGGTACATTTCCATAATAAATTATTACACAACATATAAATAAATTAATTACAAAGCATGCCATTACATCTTGAATTTAGTAGTATTAGATGATATGCAACACAATGTTAATTAATTAATTGATTTATTTATTTAATGTGTTTCAGTGTTTTGCCTGCATGTATGCAAGCACACCCATGTCATGCAGTGCCCATGATGGTCAGAAGAGGGTGTCAGATCCCCTGAGACTAGAGTTATGAATGGTTGTTAGCCACCATGTGGGTGCTGGGAGCTAAACCCATGTCCTCTGGAAGAGCAGCCAGTGCTCTTGACCACTGAGCCATCTCTCCAGTACCAACAATATCTTTTTTTAAAATATCTTTTTTAAAAAAAAATTGTTTATTTTATGTGTATGAATGTTATGCCTGCATATATGTAAGTGCACCTGTGTTGTGCAGAGGACAGAAGAGGGCGTCAAATCCTCTGGAACTGGAGTTACAGACAGTTGTTAGTTGGCATGTGTGTGCTGGGATTCAAACCTGGGTCTTCTGCAAGAGTGGACAGTGCTCTTAACTGCTGAGCCATCTTTCCAACCCCCACCCCCAATATCTTTTTTATAAATACATTGCTTGAGCATCTTTAAGTGTACGAGATAAAGATGAAATAAGCAAGTGATTAAGAATCACAAAAGTCAGGTATCAGTTACTTCTGGAGGCAGTAGATGGGGGCATTAGTAATGTTCTAGTTCTTCAGCAGGTGGTAGGTTCACAGATATTTATCTTACTTAATTGAATTGTTTTAAAAACCTTTCTTTAAGTCATTCTGGTATAAAATATATCGTAAGTACTGAAAGCCGCATGAAACTAATATAAAGCTTGACATTTCTGAGCACTTTAGGAAATACCTCCAGATCATTCAGCAGCTCCCCAGGAACTCACCTGCTGAGGCCATGTAACCTCCTCCCCAGATCACTCCTCACTCAACAAACCAAACACGTTTCCCCAACTCTTAGGCCCAGCAATCACTCATCTGTTCTCTGTTTTCACAGTTTTAATCTTTTCCAGAATGGTATATAAATGGGACCATTAGTCAGATACTCTTTATATTATTTCTTATTTGGTTTTTGTTTTTACATTCCTGATTTATTTATTATGAAACAAATTCTAAAAATCAAATAAGTTAAATCTTATAAGTTAAATCATATGAATAATTTATTAATCACTTTTTATATTTTCTAATCCAAGTTACTAACTTAAGTTTCCCCAGTACCAGTATCTTTTAAAAAATATTTTTATCGAGTCATTGAGAATTTCATACAACATATTTTGATCATATTCAGACCCTCTTCCCCATTTCCACCCCTGCCTTACTATCTCCCCCCAATTCATATCTTCTGTTATTATTTTTTAAAAGGCTATAGAGCCTAATTTGTGTTCTCAGTATCTTAAATCACTGCCCACTATGCTTCTATGCTGCTTTAGTGAGCAGATACTGTACAATCATTTATTCATAGTTCTGTCTCTTGTAGAACCCACCCCAATTTTCCTAAATTCCATTACATCTGTTGACTGCTGAGATATACAAATATGATTAATCTTATGAACTTGAGAAGACTTAGACTCACTGTGCCTCTGGGTACGTCTGTTAGAGAGTTTACAGAAAGGCTTAATTGGGTGGCTCTACTCCGTGGACTGTGGACTGAATAAAAAGGAGAACGTGAGCTGAGCACCAGCATTCGTCTCTCTCTGCTTCCTGACCATAGGTGACCAGCCACCTCACACTCCTGCCACCAAGCCTTCCCTAACGCAATGGACTGTATCCCCTCAAATTATGGCTAAAATAAACCCTTCCTTCTTGTCAACTGTTTTGTCATAACAATGAGAAAACAACTAGCACAAAGAAATGGAATCTGGCTGGGAGAGGATTTCTAAAATGAGCAGTGTTCCCGTGCAATGCTCACACAGAGAATACAGTATAAACTAGATGCACAGAACAGGAACTTCAGTTTTCTGAAGAATAGAAGCTGTGTGAAACAGCCTCTGCCCATCTCAAATCTTAAGTGCACTGTATAGGAAGGCTGAAAAAATAAGCTTCTGTTGTTAAATGGAAAAAAAACTATAAAATTAGCTTAAGGAGGAACCTATCTTGGGAGAGAATGCAAATGATTTGTTTTGTGTTTCCTGAAGATGAGACAGGTGCTGGCTGTCTCAAGGCCTGGTTGCCAATAAAACTCTTAAGCTGACCCCAGAGTTTTCAAAAAGACTCTAGCATTATCCAAGTTAGGTGTCTTTGCCCTTTGGCTTAGTTAGGTGTCCCAAATGAATGAGGGAATCTGGAATCTGTGATTCATTTTATTTTCAAAGTTATAGAAAGTTTCCAATTTTCTCCTTATTCTGACAACTGCACAAGTTCGATGCTAGATTGAAGTTGACTTCAGTCACTGTATGGCCTATGAAATATAAAAAAAACATTTTTTCTTTAACATACAGTTAGAAAGTTTACCTATCTAATGCACAAATGTTGTCTACACATGCCAATGGAATATTAATCATGTATGAAAAATCATCAAGAGCACAGAGATGAATATGCATTGTGGATAGAGATGAATTTGAATTTCAATTCCATGGCCACAACTCTCTGACCTTGAGTGAATTGTGTCACCTTTTTAAACTCATTTTCCTCATGTGCAACTCTCCCTTGATAGGTTGTTGGAAGGACCAAATCAGATGAAGGTATAATGGTTAGCTTAATGTCTGGTTCATTATGTTTAAGAAATATCAATTATTACTCTTTTGCCCAGCAGTATTCCAAAAGCAAACCAGTATCCACTTCACTGATGTATGTGAGTCATGGAGCTTATCCCAAACTTGTTAAAATATAGGTTCTGACTGTTTAGGTTTGGGGCAAGCCCAAGATTCTGCATTTCTAACTAGCACTCAGGTGAAGCTAAAGATAGTCTTTTGGATGACAAGATGGTAAATGGTGCTTGCAAGTGCAGATGTTTGATTTGCCTAACTAATGCTTTTCAATATTGACTGCATATTAGAAACTCCCAGAAAAATTGTCTAAAAAACTGATGACTGTTCTACCTCCACAGGAATGTCTTTAAATATGTCAAACTGGGGTCTGGACATGAGTAATTTTTAAAAGCCTCTGCTGTGGTTTGGGTATGTTGTTCCTCAAAGGTTCATGCACTCAGAAGCTCCAGTGTGGTAGTATTGATGTGGTGGAATCTTTAAGAGAGGGGGCGTAACAGAAGGCCTGATTCATTTCCCAGTGTGAATGGATTGCACCTGTCTTTGGAGAATGGTTAATAATAATGGGAAGACACCCCAGGTGGTTGGTGGCCTCCTCCATCTGGCCAACCCCTTTTCTGATTCCCCATCAGTTTATGTCACAGACAAGCTGGATGTTGGAACCATACTTTTTGGACATCCCTCCACCACCAGAATTCGGAACCTCACTATAAAGCACACAGCCTTAGTTACTGTGCTAAAACAACACCAAATAGGTTAAGGCAGTGTCCTAGGAGACTCCACATCAGACAGGCTGAGGCCCTCTTCTTGGTGATGCTAGTGTGCAGCCAAGCTTAAGGAAAAACTCTTCACAGAATTGTTTACAGGTGTATTTTCATTTCCTCTGTAATTTACAGAAAGTAGAATGTTTTAGAATTTCAAAAGTATATTGCATTTCCTAAACCTCTCATTTTATAAGAGGTAATCAAGCACAAAGATTTCAGTGTCTTAGAAGCTATAATTTGGGCAAAATTAGACTAAATAACAATCTTTAGTTATTCTGAGATATTCTAGCACATGATTTATGTTGGGCTAATTGTTCTTTCCGATTGTAAAAATTAGCAAAAAAAAAAAAAAAAAAAATGCCCCTTTCTGGGCGGCACACACTTTAGGTCTACAACCCCCAGGACATACTCTGCAAGGTGGGGGTAGGAGGGGGAGAGGGACTTGGGGCAGTGATGAGGGAACTTCTGCTGTATGCTAAGGGGAGTTCCAGAGGAAGTTACAGGCGTTCTCTCTCATGAAAAGAAAGCTTGTGTGGTAAAAAGGTTTGCTAAATACAGCCAGTACAGTCTCCAAATCCATGCAGTTCTTGTTGTTACTCAGACACATAAGTAACCTTGTTTGCAAACCCTCATCTCCCTCCCTGTTTTCTGTCCTGGCATCTGTAATTTTAAAAAAATGTTTTATTTATTATTTTTATTTTATCTGAATAAGTGTATTGCCTGTATGTATGTATGTTTGTGTTGTGCAGTGCCCCCCAGGGGTAGAAGAGGGTGTCAGATCCCCTGGAACTGGAGTTATGAATGATTGTTAGTCACCATGAAGGTGCTGGGAATGGAACCTGGTCCTCTGCAAGAGCAGTCAGTGCTCTTAACTGCTGAGTCATCTCTCCAGCTCCTGGCATCTGTAATTTTAAAAGGTAGATGTACAAAAGAAGAGTAAAAGTAGTAGTGAATCCCTAAAGCTGGTGCATAGAAGATAGCAAATACACTTTCGATGGATGATAAATAATTACGATTCTCCCAGAATAGATTCGATACAAGGTATCTTTTAGTTATAAGGGAGTGAAGGATTTAGCGATGGTTTCTGTATTAGCTACTTTTTGCATTGTCTATGACAAAATACCTGACAAAAGCAACTTACAGAAGGAAGGGTTTATTTTGGCTCACAGTTTGAGGCTACAGTCTATCATGGCTGGAGGCTGATGGCAGGAGTGTGAGGTGGCCATCCACATTACATCTACAGTCAGGAAGGAGAGAGAGATGAATGCCAGTGCTCAGTTCACTTTCTTCTTTTTATTCAGTTCTGAACCCCAGCCTATGGGATGGTTCCATCCACATTCAGGGTGGATCTTCCTGGCTTGGCTAAACCTCTCTATAAACTCCCTCAAAGACATGTCCTGGAGTATGTTTCCAACATGATTCTAAATCCCATCAAATTGACAGGATTAACCATCATAAAGGGTTTTACCATTAAAAAAGTCCCATAATGGAAATTATCGTCATAATACACGAGACCTTGTTATCACATGTATGCAACGGATTCCACAAAATGGAATCATACAGGAAATTCCGAACCACAGTGTCCTTTTTCACTATCACTACCCAAGGGTCTTCACATCCTGGCCCAGCAAGTACAGGTGTGATCAGCACTGTTTTGCATGAGAGCACTCACCTTATAGCCCTGGCCATGCTCCCAGGCTGTACAAACCAGCACTAGGCATATATGCATTCCTTTGTGCCACAGATCTATAGAAATGCACACTAATGCTCTAGTGGTTAAGGCAGGGAACGGAAGCAAGATTTAAACTTGTCAGTTATTTTTGGTAAAGCTCATTTATGCATATCACTATTCAGTATGCTGTGTAGCCGGTAATTGCCAATTCATGTGATCTCTTGCCAAGTACGAGTACAGTTTGCCAAGAAGTAAATATAGCTCCAACTCATATTCTCTCTCTTCCTCACCGCTTTCCCTGTCCCCATCCCCATTCCCCCCCCATCCATAACTGAGATTTAGTATGTGCTAGATTCTAGAAAAATACCAAAGCAAACTTAATCTGGATACTAACTTTTAAAGATTGAAGGATAATGGAAAGAAAAACTTTGAATTAGAAGAGACTTGCACACACTGGTTATCCCAGCACTCAAGACACTGAAGCAGGAGGATCTTGAATTCAAGAACAGCTTGGGCTACAATAGCAAGACCCTGTTTCAAAAACAAAAACAATCTAAAAGAGAATGACAGTGTGAATCATTCAGCCAGCAGGAAGCCCAAAAGCTACTCACACTGTAGAATCAGATCAGGGAACCAGTTAGTTAAAATATTCTAATTAGCCAGACTTATAGTATATACCTAGACTCTACAAACTCAGGTGACTGAGGCAGGTGGATCACAAGTTCAAGACCAGCTTGGACTATATAGTGAGACCCTGTCAATAATAGAAAAGAAGTAGGGGAGAGAGGGAGGGATCAAGGGAAGAAAGAACAAAATATTCTGGCTAAAAGAAATGACCATGCATTCCAAATATGGTTTTCTATTTTCCAAGAATTAACCCATCACCTGAGAGAAAGTTTGCTGAGTGTCTTCTAGCTGCCAGGCCTGTGTTCCACTGGGCCCAGTTTCCCTCAGTACCAAGAGACAGACACTAACCTCACTCCACAGAAAAGACTGAGACTCACAGACATTAAATGACTGGCTTCCACTCAAAATGCTCTCCTAATCCTGATACAGTATTTGAACCCAAGCTTACCTACCATTAAATGCTCTGCTAGTTCTATAAAGACAACTATTTAGAAGAAGCCCACAAATTTGTTGAGCAGATTATTTGATTGAATCAATGAAAGAATGAATGAATAAAAAGAGGTCTATTGAACACACTTCGATCAAATTTTCTGTGATGACTGAGAAACCAGTTCAAGATCTTCCCATCCAGTCATCATAATGGTACCCATTCATTACTGGTGGAAGCGGGAGCAAACAGTTTGTCCCACTTTACATATGCAAACACTATCTTCATGTGTTCTGCCATGTTAAAGAGTTATTTATAAGTCAACTCAGCTTTGAAAATACAAACAAGTTACTCTGCATAGACAGAAACCTAGGAATGCTTGCATTAGTGAAACAGAGGATAAGAACAAAAGTGAACGTAGTAAAAATAAAACAGTACATTCTCTCCTGATACTATTTATCTGCCTGGAAACTTCTTCCTTTATTAAAAGGAAAAATCACCAGTGTTAAATTAATAAGAGCCTAGTTGTAAATCATATGCAATTGATGGATTAAAATCAGTTTAAAAAGGGGATACATTTTTCTCTCAGTAACACAACTCCCTTTAGGCTTTGATACTGCCCCACATGAAATTACCTTCTGGTGAGATGTGTTTCACATTTTGAGAAATAATGTTTAAATATAAAGTATAGATTGTAAAGTCAAACAGTGGTGGGCTCTGAATTGTAACCATACTAACTGCATTCCTTGAGCAAACTTCTATGAGCTAGTTTCCTCAGTTATAAAATCCTAATGACAATACATATTTCAGGTCACATATTCCAGGTTAAATAACAGTTATAACGTGCCTTGCATAATGTTTGGCATATAGTAGATATACACAAAGCCTGAGTTCCAGTTTTTCCTTTGCCTTTATAAATGCAAAACAGAAGGCATCATAGTGGGCTTGTATGATGTGGTGATTGATAGCAATTGGGAGTTAGAGAAATACCTGAACTGATCCTAGCTGTGCACTCTTAGGCAAGTAGTTTAACTCTCTGTGCTACGGTTTCATTCTCTAAAAGGAGCTACTGCCTATCTTACTGGCTTCCTGGGAACTAAATAATAAATAAGATAATAGTGTGTCTAAGAGCTCTACAAGTGATAGATGTTATTACTGTCACTGTTAGAGGCAGTGACATTTGGAAAAGAAAGGTATGAATTTATTCATATGAAATGAAGAAAATAATCCCAGATAATAGAATGTAATGACAGTAAGTGAAATAGACACAGACCTCAGTGGTAAGGGAGTCTAATGAGAGACTGTGTTCACATAAGAGGGATGCTCAGGAATGACTGTAGCTGCTGGGAAGATGCTATGGAGGGCAGGCAGCACTGTCCATCAGAAGCTCTTTTTGAGGTGCCCTGGAGGAACAGGAGGGGGATCAGCTATACAGGTGAAGCTATTCAGAGGACAGAACTACCCCAGGGTGCTGGACCAAGAACTCTATTGTAGCCCAGATGGTATGGGGTGGGGGGATGTGGGCCCAAAAGAATGCTCAGAGAATGACAGGGGTCTCCTTATGAAAGGACAGCAGAAACTCCTAACACAGGGATGCAACTCAGCCTCCCATTCTAGAACTGAAGTGTAACATAAAGGCAGACAACTGTGAGCTCTTTCCCTATCAGCTTTATTCACAGTGACAGTTCCTAAAGAGGTGTACACAGTAGACTACGGCACCAATGTAAGCCTGGAATGTGATTTTGACCGAGGAGAATGTGGGGAACTTGAAGAAATAAGAGCCAGCTTGCAGAAGGTGGAAAACGATACATCCTCTCACAGTGAGAGAGTCACTCTACTAGAGGAGCAGCTGCCCCTGGGGAAGGCCTTATTCCACATCCCCAGAATCCAAGTGAGAGATGAAGGACAGTACCACTGCCTGGTCATCTGCGGGTCTGCCTGGGACTACAAGTACCTAACTGTGAAAGTCCAAGGTGAGTGGTTGCGAGGACTAGATTCCACAGAGACATCTTTAAAGGAGGACCTGCAAATAGCCGCAGGTAACAGCCACCTACTAACAGGAGCCCCGGCAAACCTGGAGACTGGGTTTAAAGAGGCAACTATTTTATTTCATGGGGGGGGAGGTGTACTGGTACAGAAGTATTTTTGACATCTGATATAAAGTAAAGGTAAATATGAGTAGGAGCCGTAGCTAGAATGGGGCCAGAAGAAGCCAGGGAAATGAGGCCCTGGGAGGTACCATATAAGCTTTGCCTAATTCACAGTTCGTCCATGGACTGCTCCCGACTTGCTTAGTAAAGTACTCTTTAGTAACCTGTCCCTCTAAAGAGTTGTTTAAACATTGGTTGCGCCTCATTAGTGGAGTAAAATATTGGCATAATGAGTAGCAACCAGATGGGCAGCTCCATCCTTCCCAAAGTGGCTGAATAGATTAGAATACGTAGACCAGGGTGTATCACACAGGAGAGCTAAGCACTGTTTTGTAAAACTCTTATTTTAGGGTGTGAGTGGGGGAGGTGCTGAGTCATGGTATCAAGACTTTTGTTCTCACTAAAACCTAGGGCTTTGGAAAACACCAATGAAGTCCATGTCATATTATTGCAGTGGAAATAGTCAAGATCTAGAAAAGTGATATGGATGGCCAGAAAGAGCCTGGTTACAGTCATGGCTGTCCCATTTCTCTGGGTTTAGGACATGCTTCACCCCATAATAGCCAAAACCTAAATCTGAAGAGAAGTTTCATGCTCTTGCTTGTCCTTGGAAAGGTCGTTTTGAGTAAGACGTGGCAGAGGAAAGAGTAGATTTAGCATGTTGAATTTCTGGCCTTTATTGGATCTTCTGTGTTATATACACTGTGCTCTCCCCATCCCACTAACTAGGCCACAGAGCATCATCTCTGCCTTCTGGAGAGTCTTTGAGCTCAAAGATTCTAAAAACAGTTGGACTTGACAGCAATTGTGTGACTATGACCTGGTGCAGAAAAGGATATTCGAGAGGATTAGACCCAAGTGTGACTATTGATTCGACCTGTGTCTTCAAGTGGTCATTTCACCTCTCATATTTTTCTTATTTCTAAAAAGACAGTAGTAGTTCCTACCATGCAGGGCTATTATAAACATTAAGAGCAATGATAAAGAGCTGAGCATGACACCTGGCATAAAGTGCCCAGAGATTTTGTTTAAAAACCTTCAGTTATTGCAGGGACAGTGACCTCCTCACACTCCAGCATCAGTGAGTCAATTGATGAGGTTGATGATGAGTTGAGGCGTGATGGCTCTCTACCTTTACTGCAGTTCCTACACCCTGATTTCCACAGTCAGGAACTTTAGAGTGTGGATGTTAGTAAAGTTCAATTGATATGAGGATGTGAGCTGTGATTCCCAGGATCCTCTACTGTACTAGATATCTGTACCCTTACAGTACCAGCCTCATGATGCAGTGCATTAACTGCCTTTGGGTGACTGGGGGAAGGGACATCCATCTTCTCTTTCAGAATGAGGCTATCCCTCATTCCTGAGAACACACCCTGCCTCTTCCTCTGCTGCGCCTAGAATTTCTCAGGTCTGGGGTGATTTCTTCCTTAAAACAGTGCTCATCACATAGACATGGACCACACAGACTCTCTAAGGGAAGCAGAAGCACAGGCAATTTTATGAAATGGGTTTCTACATCTTCATCTTCCCCAAGTACTCTTTCCCACAATTGATGAACCTGAGAATGTGCCTGCCAGGCAGATTTTTGGGGTTCCCCTGAAATACTTCCTCTTTTGCTATTGCTTTCTCCTCCTTCGCGAAAAGGCTACCTGACCTTCACATGTACCATTCACTGTGCCAGGGTTTAAAACCTTCATAACACAAGATAAGAATGAATGGAAAGTTGATACCCTATGAACCAGCAAGACTGACACTTGCGTTCAGGTATCAAATTCTTTCTTTTCAACAAAACTGTGAGATGATAAGCCCCTTACCCAGAGATAACAGTTGATAACCAAAAATTAGTAACTTATGCCAGATAATCACATCATTCAAACTGCTTCTAATTCCCACCAATTAACTCATAAACAGGATTTCTTAGCTCTAATAGCTACAAGAACATGAAAAACAGAAATTAAATAAAATTTAAAAAATTTAAAATAATGCTGAGTTCTGCCTCATAGGATGGTTCTAAGCATAATCCATATGTGTTCTCAAATTCATGAATAACTTGAAAACCATACATTTCCAGTAAATTTTTATTTTTATGCTTAACAATTGCTAGTGTTCATGATATTTTACATTTTGATAATATGTGGTGATAATGGTAATTAGATCGCATTACAGAAGGAAACTTTGACACTTAAAGTCTTAGCGTCATAAGAAAAACTTTAATTTCAACAGCTATACATATTTTGTTGTACTGCACATGAGAACAATAAATCAGAACTATCAAACATATATGTGTATTTGTACTAATGAAATAATTACTTTTGAAAATATAAGTATGTATAAAATTCTAATTATTATTTATTTTCCAACATAGAAACTTACAAAAAAGTCTAAGAATCAAATTAGGACATAAGGGAACATACTGCACCATAGTTCTTTGCAAGCAGAAAATAAAGCTGGAGACCAACACATAAGAGTAGCTTATTATGATGTGAGACCTCAGATCTGGGGCCCCCGTGAGGAATCCCATAAAGTGGAACTAGAGGAAGGGTTGCTTTACTGTTAAGTCCAGAGAATAAACCTGGACAAAGGTATATGGCACCTTCTTTCTCCACATATCATTGCATATTAAATATATGAAAAATAATTAAATTATTCATAAATAATTAAATATGTGAAAATAGGGTTGATTTCAAAAGGATAGAAAAAATATGAGGCAGAATGACTCTGGAAGAGACTGTAATAAGAAGCAGTGGTTTCTGGGAAGGCAGGCTGCAGCCCTGTGCTGGTAGCAATCAATCTTCCAGGTGGGAGCTGGGAGCATGGCTCAAGCGGCGTATAGAGGCGCTGAGAGGCCAGGGCCCTGCCGGGAGTAGGCTTGAGAAGTGGCCTGTGCAGAGGACCCAGATGGGCAAAGAGCAAGAGAGAGCAGGGCCACAGTCAGGCTGGAGCCTACGATGGGAACAGGGAATAATGGACTGAAGTTTATGAAACTTCAACACAGCAAAAAAGCCCAGGTCGGGTAACAGGTGGAGGAAGGAGATGGCATGACTTCCGTTGTAATGATCTTCACCACAGATGAGAGAGATAAAGGGCCCAGGGAGAGAAGCTGGAAGAACAGCCAGGTAAAAAAGTGGGTAGAGGGTGAGAGGCCCAGGGAAAACACTGGCTGAAATAGCTGACTAATGGAGCCACACCTCTGTTCTCAGCACCTTTCCCCTTAGGGACCAAGTGAATAAAAATATCTGGAGTCAAGAAAGCACCAACTTGACTTTCAAAGAGGAGAAAGCTCCTGGGTTTTACCAAGCCTGAGTTTACAGTCCTCTTCCAGCTGTTTAGTGGTGAACTGAAACAATCCTCAGAGATGTTTTCCAGTGATTACTTGCCTGGATTCTCTAAGACCAAGGCATGTGAAAACTGCATTTTCACTTTATTTACAGTCATGATGATTAAGAAAAAGCTACTGTGTCTACAATTTGTCTTCATTTTAGAAATGATGTGAGGCTGACAAGATGGCTCAGTGAGTAAGAGCACTTGCTGTGTAAACATGAGGACCTGAGTTCAAATTCAGAGCACCCACTTAAAAAAAACTAGTTATGGTTACACATGCCTGTAATCCCAGTGCTGCAGAGCAGAGACAGGTGGAACCTGGGAATTCCCTGGCCAGCAGGCCTAGCCGAAACAGTGAGCTTTGGGTTCAGTGAGAGACCCTATCTCAAGGAAATGAGGCAGAGAGCAATAAAGGAAGACTCCCAGTGTCCTGCATGGATCTTCATATGGGCATGCCTACCTGTGTGCATGCACATGCACACACACCACATTCAAAGGAAGTAGAGAAGGGAGGGAGGGAGGGAAGAAAGGACAGTTGATGATATAATGTCTCAGGTAGCCAGAGTCAACCAGGGAAATAGAAACCATGAAACTTACAGAAATCTAAAGCAGAAAAACATAATTTTTTCATTTTTTGGTTTGGTTTTGTTTTGAGACAGTTTCTCCCTGCAGTTACGTAGACTGGGCTGTCCTTGATCTCACAGAGATCTAGCTGCCTACCTCTGCCTCCCTAGTGCTGGGATTAAAGGCATCCAACACCACGCCCAGCATAATAATGCTTTTACTGTTAGAGACTGAAAAGCCAACAAGAGAACAAAGAAACAAATCACATTTAGCAATAGCACTGGCAAGAGGGAGAGGGGAAGGCTGGGCCAGCGGAGTCCCTGGACTCCTTGGCAAACTCTGCCTAGTAGAAGCCGGGCCCAGGGATGAAATGCTCCTGCTGGAGCCATCAGAGCAGAGACTTGAAAAGACATGTCCTTTTACCAACCAGAAGGCTCAGTGTTTGGAGATCATGTCACCAGCTCTCGCCTAAAGCCTTTTACACGCTCAAGACCATGTTCTTAGTGACTGTGCTTACTGTATGTTACTAAACCAAACAAGAGCCTGTGGACTGAAGCAATGAAGATGACCTAAGAATGATCTTCCCAAAAAAATGCAATTACTCCTTGTCTGTTTGGCTTCCCCAGGAAGTACAAGCTTCCATTTATAGATGTGTTTTACTGAAAGTTAGCTATCTAGCTGATTGCCGGTATGAAAAAAACAGATGTTGCTAAAGATACAAGGCAATGTTTCATTTGATGGGAATGTAAATTAGTCTAACCACAATAGAAATCAGAATAGTGGTTCCTCAAAAAAATTAAAATAGTACTACCATATGATCCAACTACATTACTCCTGAGTATATAACCCTAGGGACTCAAGGTCAGCACACCACAAAAATACTCACAAACCCATGTTTATTGCAGCACTGTTCACAATAGCCAAGTCATAGAATCAGTCTACTTGCCCACCAACAGATGAACGCATAAAGAAAATGTGGTATACATCTTTATGGATTATTATTCAGCCATAATGAAGACCAAAATCATGTCATTTGTAGGAAAAAAAAATGAGTGGAACTGGAAACCATCATGCTAAGTGAAATAATCAAGACTCAGAAAGACATGTATCATGTTTCCTTTCACCTGCAGAATCAAGGAAAGGCTCAGGAAAGTGGAAGGGGGACTATTAGGGGATGGGAGGGGGATGAACCAGAGCAAAGGAGGGAGGGAGTGCGTCGAAGTACATGCATGCATGCATGAGGATGTTAATGAAAACTAGATTTTATACAATGCTTTAAAAAGAGCAACAGGATCTTTAAAAAGCAACATTCCATGATGACAAGAATCAGTTCTACATGGCGATGTGACAATTCTAAATGTATGTGCATCTGACAATATATTGAAGCTTAGCTTCAATAAATTAAACAAAAATGGATAGGCTGGATATCCCCTCCTTGAAGCCCTCCCTCTCTCAGGAGTTCTTTCTCACTTTCTCTTAATAAACCTCAGTTCACTCTCTTAAAAAAAAAAAGTTCGAAGATGGATGGCCGAGGGGAAGGAGGGGAAGGAGGAGGAGGAAGAGGAGGTAGAGGGGGCAAGTTCACAGTCATATTTGAGCTTTCAAGTCATCTCTATTCTGATAGGACAAATTTAAAAATATAGCAGATGTGACCAACACACTGCCCATCTTGACCAAATGACATGTGTAGAACACTGCAGAATGCATGCTGTTTCCATGTGCAGTTTAACAACCATCAAGACAATTATCTAGCAATGTTGCCAAAGATACTTTGAGCTGAGCAGAAAGTTAGAAATCTTGAATTTTTAAAGCTACTTCCACCTCGAAATTCTGAGATTTGCTCATCTTTTCTGAAGAATATCAACTCCCAGTTCAGCTTCCCCATTGTGTGTTGCTGCTATAACACGTCTTCAGCCACTTCCCAAATGAGAAAGAGGCTGTGGAAGCATTTTTGATATTACAAAAATGTAGGTAATCCCTTCCCCAAACCATGCTGGTTCTTTTAACCGAACATGTCTCCTTTCCAATGTGCCCCAAAGTCTCAGCCCAGTGCCTGATCCCTGTTCCTCCCCCTGCCCAATTACCTCTCACCTCAGCCAAGAACAGTTTCTTGTTTGGAGCCCTCCTTCAAGAGTTGGCTAGACCTCACCTTCAACACACTGCTCCTGTGAATCTATTCTTTTTCAACTTTATTCCCTAAAGAACTAAAAGCTTATTTAAAAAAAACAAAAGATGAAAGATGATAGGATTATGTGATTCTAAGGTGACAATGAACCAAAGGAGAATAAGTGTATACAAATTAAGAGGTGAAGTGACTGCTTGACAGGCTTCAGAAACTGGTAGAGACAAATCAGGAGACTGGTAAGTAAAACTAGGTCAGGTCCTTCAGAGGACTGTGTCAGAGCCCTGTGTCAATTGACACAGAGACTGTGTCAATTCTTTTCATTTTCTGCTAGATCTGGGCACTGTTAGATCTATCAGGAAAATGCATTCCTCTTCCCCTGCTATTGCTGCTTCTCATCCTGTTGTGATGTTTCAAGTCCCCCCTCTTCCCAAGGGTCCTACTGTTTCCCTATTTACAAGCTAAGGGTATGAATTTTACCTACTTCACACAGTCCTTGTTTAGTTTAAATAAAAATGTCTGGTTACAGGTCTAGGGCCAGGTATTAGTGTCACTTACCCCTGCTGCTCTCTGAGTTTTTGACTAAGTGAACAACACACACAAGAATCGATGGCCAAATGGGAAATGAACACCATGTGCTGAATGAATACCTTCTTACTTATTCTCTCCACTCCTGTTGGGTGTCTCCTGATAACTTACACTGGAGAACATCACTAAGAATAGAGAACTTGTTGCTCTCTCATCTTAATCTAGAAGTACAGATTTGAAGATCAGACCCTGTTCCAGTTGCATTTCTGTTGCTGTGATAAAATACCCTGAAAATGCAAATTAGGGCTGAAAGGGTTTATTTGGCTTACAATTATTTTAATGTGAAATAGCATTCCAAAAAATATACATACATATTCCTACATTTTAAGAAAAACAATTTCGTCACACCTGTATTAGTCACTTTTAATCATGGTAACAAAACCCCTGACACAAGCAACTCAAGGGAGGGAAAGTAAATCGGGCTCATGTTCCAGGGGTTTCAGTTCATTCTGTGGGGGGAAGGGTGGAGCACAGCATACCTCACATCATGACTGCCAGGAAGCAGAGGGTGGAGGAGGGAGGGACCAGGACAGGGACTCTACCTGGGTCCCCAGCCTGTGGGAAGGTGCTGCCCACATTCAGGGCAGACCTTCTGCCTTAGTAGATTCTCTGGAAATGCTATCCCAGGCACCCCATAGGCTTTACTAACATCCCAGGAGCTTCTCATCATATCAAATGGCAATATTAACCTTCACAACACCTGTGCTTTTATTTCAAGATCACCTTTACTCCAAAGATTATATTGAAAATCTGTTTTTAAGTATTTCCTATCTAATGAAAGCCAGTACACACACCCACTTCCCTCACCAAACATCAACAGTTTACTGTCAACTGGTATTTACATGTGATGTTAATATTTGTTTATTTTGAGGTGTGATCTAAGATTGTTGGGCAGTCCTTGTGCCTTCCTGGCCCTTTGTCTTAGAGTTCCATTTTCTAGACAGTAGGGAATCATATATGATTAATTCACTCAGGGAATACTGCACAGAAATATGTGTGTGTGTATATGAATTAAGAAGTACATAATGACTATACTCAACTCCTAACTATTTGTAACTGTTATCTATGTCCTTATTTTCCCCTCCTAATCTCAAAGAGAACAGAGGAAAAGAAAAAGTTTTAAAGTAAATTTTCTCCTGATAATGTTCAAAAAAGTGGTCTAATGGAGTTACCTAGTAATTTTTCTATATCCATCCCCTCACCTTTCTTCACCCCCCAGTTGTGAGACAATTTACCTTACTGCAGGGAGCCACAAAATACATCAACTCAGATCTACATTTACAGCTTTCCTATATTCAGGCGTTGGGTCTAATAGTCATTACCCTCTGACTCCAGACATAATATTCAACTTTTGTGTCTTCAACTGCAAGAAAAATTGGAAATACCAAAAAATGTATCTTTGTTGTCTTGCAAGATTAAATCATTCAATATATGTAAAATAATGTATCTGGGACATAGAAAGTATTTTAAAAGTAAAAACATGATTACTTAATACCAATAGTGATAATTTTATTTCCTATTGCATTGAGTACAAAGAGCTACAGGAATCAGGAAAGAAAGACATGTTTTTGTTTTTGTTTTTCCTTCTATTGTCCAGCTTCCTACAAAAGAATAGATACTAGGATCCTAAAGATCCCAGAGACAGGTGAGGTGGAGCTCACCTGCCAAGCTAGAGGCTACCCCCTGGCCGAAGTATCCTGGCCAAACGTCAGTGTTCCAGCCAGCACCAGTCATAGCAGGACCCCTGAAGGCCTCTACCAGGTCAGCAGCGTTCTCCACCTAAAGCCACAGCCTGGCAGAAACTTCAGCTGTGTGTTCTGGAATTCTCACGTGAAGGAGCTTACTTCAGCCATCATTGACCCTCTAGGTAGGTGTGACCTCCACTTCTGAGCTCTATCAAGAGTTCAAGCAAGAAACAGATGGTGCACTCAAATGGACCACTCGAAGAGGTGTAATAAAGGGTCTGTTCACAAGGTTGTGGTTGAAGTTAGAGGGACTGAAAGGAGAATGCAGGGCGCAGGACTCTAATGTGGCCACTGTATGAGGGACTACTAGAATGAGAAGGTTAGCACTCTGCCACCCCAGCTGCTTCGAGGAGAGAAGCTAAGTGAATGACAGACACCCTAGCCTCCCTTACCTCCCAGCCTCTGGTCTCCTGCTGGGACTTCTCATTGACTGAACCTAGCAGCAAGTCAGAAAACAAGTATGTCTACCATTGGAATCTTCCAGAAAGGTCAACATCCCAGGTCTCAATGCAGAATAGTACGGTGTAGAGAACAGATTGGAGAAGCAGCAGAAAATGACCAGGATGGCTCATGCAGAGGCCCAAGTGAGTAGAATGGATGTGGTTTTGTTGGCTTTGCTTCCAGTTAATTGGTTATATGGTGTTTCCAAAGAAATTAGTCCCTTATAAAATCACTCAGTGCTTGACTGGCCTTGTTAGATAGTTTTGGAAATGGATCTAATTCTTTTGAACTTCCTGCACCAACAAAATTTCAACCTATCTGGACAAATTAACAACTTTTTTTTCCCAAGTAAGAACCTGGAAAACAATCATTTTGTAAGACACAGGTAATTTTTCTACCAAGTATGTATTACTTGTTGCTACTACATTAAATTACCACAAATTCAATGATTTAAAACAACCTGACTGTATGATCTTCTACCTCTGGAGGTCAGAACCCTAAAATAGGTTTCACTTGGCTCCAATCAAGGTGTTCTAGAAATTTTAGGAAGTTCTAGGAGATGTTGCGTTTTCCAGATTTTATTTCACAGGTTGCCTGTCCTCCTTGGTTCAGGACTGCTTCCTACATCTTCAAAACCATCAGTCATATCACTTAGTCCTTGGCCTCTGTCATCACCTCTTTCCCTAGCCTTGGCTTGTAGTAGCTAAGTGAGTGAGAAGAGAGACTGACTCCCTTGTGTCTGGACAATTCAAGATACTCTTTCCAATCTCAAGGCCTTTAATGCAATGCATCTTCAAAAACTCATTTTACCATGTAAGTTGGTAAAATGCACAACTACAGGACTCAAGGCATAGACAACTTTGGAGGGGGGAGAGCATTATTCTACCAACTCTACAAGAAAGGATATAATCTAAGTAAAGATAGCCTCGAATGCTGATTAAAATTATTTCATCATTTTCTTTCAAATGCTGCTCTTTGTCTTAGGCAGGCAAGACAGAGACTGTTAGGACTTGTATAATATGTGGTGTTTATGTGGTGATCCCAGAGAACAGAAGAGAAAGATTCAGAAGAACAAGACAGGAAAGGACAAGCAAATGTCAGGGCACATCATGAAGGCTGCTGGTGTGGGCAGACAGATTATGAGTTGGAACATCAGAGATATCTGCTCTATCCCAAATTAAAGAATGTTTTCCCAAGGATGCCACCAAGCTACACACCAGACTTTGAGAACGCTGGTGTGTCTAAATTCCCATTTCATTATTACTTCCCTAATTATATTCTTCTAAAACAATATTTCCTCCAATATAATCTTTATGTGTATTAGCTGCATTGCCCTCCATCTCTTCACCCCATTTCTGCACCTTCCATACCTGGTTCCAATACAACCCAGTCGCATCTCTCAAGTTAGCCCAGCTTCTTCCTGAGTTGTTATGATGAAGCCAGGAAGAAAAGATAGAGTCATGCTAAAACCTCAATAGAAATAAGGACCTTCAGTGTACCCTAACCTTAAGGCCAACCTTAGATGAAATAATAAATTAGGCAAGTTAGTCCCTCACTTTAAAAAATGAACTGTAACTAATTCAGACTAAAGCTTTAGAGAGCTAATTATTTGTTTCCTGAAACCGTCAGCTCAGCTGACCTTGATTATGTGGAATTTCTTGCTTGTTTAAGTATAGTCCAGAGCTTTGGGCAAAATGTGGTTTTTTAGAAGGACACTTACATAAGGACCTCTATGGAGAAATAAGACCTTTATTTAGTAAGAGGAGTTTAGGGTCAGGCAAGATGGCTTAGTGGATAAAGTACTTGCTGAGCAAGCATGAGGACCTAAGTTTGGATTTCCAATACCCATATTAAAAGCTAAACAAGGCAGTGGATCTCTGGCTTCCACAGGTACTCTCCCACAACACATGTATACACACACACACACCCCACAAAAAAAGAATTTTGAAATAACTAGAGTCTAATCTTTTTACCTGATTATGTCAGTGTCTTTTTCTTGTGTGGAAGAGACGTGTAAAGGCAGACTGACAATTCTTCTGGAAGTCTTATGCTGAGAGAGAGAGTCAAAAATGGAAGAAAAAGGCTGCTCTTTCCATGGGAGCCAACATGGCCAACTGAACAGTCTACAACTACAGGAGGGGTCAGTAAGAGCTCAGTTCTCGTCAGAGCTTAGGGTCTCCTAAGGTACCACCCATGAATGCAACCAGTTAGAGAGAGAACTCTGTCAGAGACACTTGGCCTGCTGTTATCCACCTTCCCAGCTGTGTTCCCATCCTGCTGTTGCCTGGCAGGTTCTTCTCTGTTTTGTGCCCCTTCCTCACCATGTGCTCCCTGCCTTCTTTGTGCTATCAGTTTCTTTCACATAAAACATTATTCACCATCTTAGAGCTCCCAGCCCACCTGCTCTCTAAGACCGCTCACACAACTCCAGATACCAGGGAGTATCTGTCCCTCCTCTAGTTTACCTGCTTGTTTTCCTGTGACTGTGTATGTCTTTTCTCATTTATTTAATTTATTTATTCTCTATGTGTTTTCATGGTTTTCCCAAGTCTTCTGTATATCCACACCAAAGTGAAAGCTGCGTGCTTCACCCGTGAGACGTGCTCGGTAAATGGTGAATTAGAGATGTAATCCTGGATAGCCCCGGTTGGCTCATCTCAGCTTCTGGACTCTGTGGACAGTCAGATCAGAGCAGTCAAATGATGCCCTTATTTTGACACAAGAACCAGAAGCACAATAACCACAATCACACATCTTCCCACAGGTTTCTTCTTATTTCTATTTCTTGAAAGTATCTCCGGTCCACTTATGACTGTCCCATCTCTACCCATTCTCATAAATTGAGTTGCTTACCCACTGCTGACTGCTGTGAACACTGCAAGCTTCTCTAGAAGTCAATGAATAAAAGAGATACTCAGCCCTGGAGAGGGAGGATGCTTGCAACCCTCAACAGAAGACTGAACGAACTACATTGCATTCAGAAGTTAGGGAGTCATCAGTTCATTTTCCTTCAGAAACTGGGTTGTCCTCAGCCAGTTGCTACATTTTCATTGGGAAATTAGATCACAGGAAATAACTATAAAAAGACCCCATGGAGTTTTCAGAAAAGAAAACTCCTGGGACACCTGGAGGCGAGTCCAGGCAGCAATCAAGAACATTGGCTCTGAAATCAGACTTGAATTTCAGATGCTATCAAAGTTCCTCCTGGCTTTAGAACTTGGCCATACTACTGGGTCATCCTAGAACTCAGTCTTTCGAGTACACAGTGAGGGCAAATAATGGTGCACATGCTAAAATGTCATTGTGATAATTAAATATGCTACTAAAGGGCTTACCTCAGAGAGGGGGGTCACCAACAAAAAAAATCTATCACCTCCAGCAAGATTTCTGGCTTCCTTCCGAGTACAGAGGACAGTGGTAAGGACAGGTCAGATGCTTCTCCCACTATCCTATCATTGTTAATGAGAATGCAGTTATTATAAAACAGCTTAGAAGAATATGTAGCCTGAACTGCAATAATGAAGAGACTCAGACACATGGTGACTCAAACAAGGCAGAAGTGTATTTTTCTCTACATAACATTCAGAGATAGGAAGCAATCCAAGCAGCTAAATAATTGTCTTCATACATCATTCAGTGATTAAGGCTATTTCCGTCTTGTTGCTTTGCCGTTCTCCAAGATGCTGTCCCGGTTGAATTGTCAGAGCAGGGTTATTGCCAAATTCTTGTTTCTGCCTTCAGAGAAGATACAGTGGTGGAAGATATTTTCAATGCTTTGGTCAAGATCCAGAAGACTGATTCTTGGCCTGAACTTAGTGTACATGACTAGCCACACCTAAATGCTGGCTGAGGGATCTAGAAATCCAGAATCCAGTCTCTGAGACCATATGCCCAGCAATGGGGCAGGGGAGGGTGGGGGATCAGAGGAATACTCAGCAGGCTGCCATAAGGTTAATTACTGATTAGCTAGGTGGACTAGACAGTTCAGCACAGCACCTCTCATGTAGGTGATGACTCAGGTAACACTTTTATCTTCCAATACAGTTTAAGGAGACTGGAATCCTGTTAGATGTTCAACTTGGGAGGTCTTCAAGGATGAGCAGAGCCTCCACACATGGAAGGAACTATTAGGACACCTGCACAGGACAAGTGTTCCCCAAGACAGGAAAGCAGGGGCCTGACTCAGGGCTGTGTGCAGTGCATGCTTAGCAGCGAAGAAGCAGTGTGCTCAATTAGGATTTTGCAGTACGGCTTATCCAGGTAGACCTTAGCTTTCTCTTCACTTGCTCTTGGATGGAGATGATACCTGTAGGGCTTGAGCTTTGACTCAAGAATTCTGTCACGTCCTTGAAAGTAATGATTATTTAACATCTCTGAAGCTTCCTTGGCACTAAAATGAGGGGCCCAGGGTCAAAGGGTGTGTCTAATCATTTTTCAGCTGGACCATTCTGTGGTTCTTGAATGGCATTATAGTGGCAGGGGAAGAAAGGAGAAGGGTGCCAGAGGGCTCAGCCCTTCTTCCTGAATAGTTCTGTCCAGTTTTTTTCTGAACTAGCCATTTAGGTTTATTCTGTATCTGCTACTCCATGAGCCAAAATTCCTGCTGTGGAAAAGGGCACAGGTTAACTTGGGTAACCACTCGTTATCCTATTATGAACACCCTGCTGCTGCGTCCTTCGTCTGGCCAACCTGGAAACACCCAGAGCTCTCACAAGCTGTTCCCCAGCCTTCAGAAGTATACTTCTTATCATCTCTTCATGAGCCCTCAGGGCCAGACAAGATAAGAAATCAGATGTAGTCATTCACATCAAGGCCTGAACAGCCAGGTTTACCATATCACCCATGCTTGGAATATTCTGCTTTTCCAAAATTACCTTGCTAATCCTTAAAATCTAATAACTAAACGATTCCAGGAACTCGAATGCTTGTCAGTGAGGGACAGAAGAGATTTGAGGGCTGAGGCGTTCTCCCACTAGAATAAGAAAAACAGTGATGATGAGAAAGAAAATGGGAGAGAGAGAAGAGGAAAAGAAAGGTTGATATGGGTGGATGGATGGATGGATGGATGGATGGATGGATGAATGAATAAGGTAGATGTCAAAATGTTCAAAAATCACTGAAGGTGGGACCAGACAGTCTGGATTGAATCTTGCTGTCTAACTTTAGACCAATCAAAGTCAAAGCAGAGCCTGCTTCCCTGGGTGACTGTGAAAGGAAACAAGGTTCTACATGAAAAGAGGGGGTCATGCAAGCCTAACCCAGTGGCTGTGTGGGAGAAACCCCTTTGGAGACCATTCAACTTGGAGGTCTGCTTCTGAGCTGCCTTATAATGGGATTCCAATTCTTTCCTTCACCCAGGTTGGATGGAACCCAAAGTCCCCACAACATCACTACTTCACGTTTTCATCCCGTCCTGCATTATTGCTTTGATTCTTATAACCATGATGATAGTCCTGAGAAAGAGGCTCTGCAGAAAGCTGTATCCAAGAAAAAGGTGAGTTAATGTGCAGTATGAGACTACAGTATGAACTGTGGTCTCCCAGTCCTCACCGAAGCCCTTAGACCTAGCAGTGCTACGAGGTTGTCCTAAGGATTGTTTTCCCCAAGAAGAAAATAGCTCAGTCATCAGTGAGTGAAGTCATGCTGAGCTTTTTAAAGGAGATGCTTTTTCATGGGCTAGTAGTTTGTCTTGCTCTTCCAGCCTCAAGAATGCTGTCTTTGGGTGATGCAGACAGCCATGTGGCCAGTGTTAGATTTTGAGAGGGTACCAGGAACCTCTCTGAGGATTCTGTCCTTTTCATTCTTTTCTTCATTCTGGGCATGAACTGAGTTAAACCTGCTAGGTCTTCCAGGAATCTGCCTCTTCTGTTTGGGTGAGGAATAGAGAAAAGGTGGGGAAGCCAGCTCAGTTTCAGGAGGTCTTTCTGAGCATCACCTTAGCCTGGGCCTTATCAACCTGCTGCTGCTCTGCTGGACCAGCAGGGACAGGGTACTGCCTACAGCCTTTGAGCCCTAACAGAGCTGCTCTTGTGTCTATCCTTGGTGTGTCTGTTACTCACTTCCTGGGAGGAGCCAGCATAAAATCCCCAGGATATATGTGTTCAGGCCTGTTGGGTGCTTTCCTCAGTGGTCACTGTGCCAGCAGCTGCCAGTGAACTTCTTTCAAGATCTATACTGGCCTTGTCTGTCAGAAGGGAAATGGCTTCTGTGACTAATTCAGTACAAGTGGGGCCAAACTAACTGGGGTGGGGGTGGGGTTGGTGGTTATCTTCCTACATCGATGGTCATTTATATCTTCATCTGTTGAAGTATTGTGCTGGCTGCCCACTGCCCTTTATGTGCTGGGCTGACTCCAAAACCTCTAACTACAGAATTCAAAGAACTGTTGTCAAAAGATAGAGAGACCCCAGAACCTAAAAGGTGGAGACAGGAGGATCATGAGGTCAAGAGCTACTTGCCTCAAAAGAATAAAAGGAAACAGAGAGGAGGGGGGAGGAAAGAAGGGAGACAGAGATAGAAAAGAAAAACCGTTATTGCCCATTAATAACTTCCCTCTCTGAGTCCTTACATTCAGACTTGTTTTGTGTACAAGATGCATGGATTCTTGTGTAGAAACACACACAGTCTCAAATGCTGTGGAAGAGGGCTGAGAAGGGCAGGTGCTGTAGGACTTCAAAACCAGGGTCTGGGGATTGGAGAGATGGCTCAACAGTTAAGAGCACTGACTGTTCTTGAAGAGGACCTGGGTTCAATTCCCAGCACTCACACGACAGCTAACAACTATCCATAATTGCAGTTCCAGGGGATCCAGTGCCCTTCTCTGACCTCCAGGCATTGCATAACACAGGTGCACTTACACACATGCAGGCAATATACACATAAAACAAAAATAATAAAGTTTTTTTAAAAAAAACTTTTGGCTGGGCGTGGTGGTGCACACCTTTAATCCCAGCGCTCAGGAGGCAGAAGCAAGTGAATCTCTGTGAGTTCAAGGCCAACCTGGTCTACAAAGCAAGTGCCAGACCAGCTGGAGCTACAAAAAAAAGACCCAATAAAAACAAAAAAAAATAGGCTCTGAGGATGAGGTCTGGACCTGGGGCTGTCATTTGCTGCCTCTATGTTCCTGTACACATCACCTAACTTTGTTTTATTTTATACGTATGAGTGTTCTGCCTGTATGTATGTAAGTGCACAATGTGCATGCAGTACCCACAAAGGCCAGAAGATGGCATCAGGTTCTCTGGAACTGGAGTTAAGGGTGGTTGTTAGTTGTCATGTGGGTGCTGGTAGCAAAACCTTGGAATAGCAGTAAGGGCCCTTAATTGATGAGCCATCTCTCCAGCCCCTGGTTTAATTTTTTGATCATCATAGCTGTCATCTGCCCTTTTTGCCTAAGCTCTCACTGTACAGGATTTTCTCTCCTCAGAACCACTGGACTCTTCCAGGCCTGAGCTTTCTCATTGTATTATTCTCTTTTAAGAGCCTTTCTTTTGTTCTCTACCTGAGTTAGTCATCCTTTAAATTATTGATTAAGCTGCCACTTCATCTGCCTTCTTTGATTCTACCCCCTCAACACACTTGTTATGTTGAATTATCACCCCTAAGCTTCTCTAGAAGGCATCTTTCAGTACACAGAACACAGTACTTGGCTGATACCTGTTTAATGGCTTGGGCTAAGATGCAATTGCATCCTTTTAATTTTTCAATTAATTCTTTAAGTGTTCACTTTGACAAACTCTCAGGAAGCTTACTAGCCTCTTGGTTCAGTGCTCTATCAATCAGGCAGGGGGGCCAATGGGGAGCTACATCAGTCTGCCAGAGGGCCTGGCTTGAACTATTGCTGAGGGCCTAGTGTGGAAGGGATTGACTGTGCACAGCTGTGGCTGAGACAGGAAGTCCCACCTGCCTCTTCAGCCCATGAATGTCTTGCTTTGAGACCAGTGGCAAATGGCATGAGAGGAGAAGCCATGGGAACTGCAATCTGCTATCAGTGTGCTGTGTAGTTCTCTAGTCCTGTCATGCAGAATCTCTGTTCCCTCCAGGTACTGACATTCACTGCCCACAGGTCTCCCTGTGGAGTAGATCCCCATGCAGACTGCATTATACCTTCCTGGCTGAAGCTGCAGGAGGAGCCTCTTGCCTTCCTCACAGCTGCATTGTCAACCCCTTCCACACTAGATCCTCATGAGGATCCTGAGCCACTAGTCCTAACAGCTCTCTCTTCAGTTCCTCTTTGAGCCATTGTTGTTATGAGTTTGTAGTCCAGTGGAGAATCAAGTAAAGAGATAGAAGTCTCTGTCACTTCCTTTCCAGAAGGCTCATTGTTTCCTCACAGATTTACCCACCTGAGCATCACAACCAGCTCTGCACACTGAGAAGTACTGGGAGGGCAGCCATTGTTGGCCTATGAAAGGTTTTATTAACTATTTCCTTCAAAGAGGAGCTATTCAGTAGTTTAGAGTTTCAGGGTGACCCATGAGTTCTAGAGAAGTTGGCAACTTCTGTTGCAAAAATAATGTCAAGTTCTGCTTATCTGATAGCTTTACATTTCATGAATACGAAAACTTGTCTCTCTTTTAACCAATTATATCCAATGTCTAAAACATTATAGTGTATATATATGATGTTCAATAAAATTGTAACATTTTTCCATTTTTTTGACAGTTTCATGCAAATATAATGGATTTTAGATGTTTTTACACCCCTTCCCACTCTGATTTTCCCTTCCTCTCCTTCTGACACCCCTCTTCTTCCCAACAAGTCCTCTTCCTATATTCATATCTTCCTGTGTGTGACCCACTGAGTTTAACTGCAGTTGCTTACAGGAGTGTGGTAAGAGGTTATTTACTGGAGCTAGGGCAACTTACCAGTGATGACATCATTGAAAGAAATAACACCTCCTCCCACAGCAACTAATAGCTGCCAATAGCCCCTCAGAGAGGGGCAGGGCCTCATGGACCCCTCCTCTATCCATGATGAAATGTTGACAGGGCCAGTCTTGTACAGATCTTATGCAGATAACCACAGTTTCACTGAGTTCCTGACTGCAACAGTCGTCTCCTGGGTAGAAGTCATCTTTTTGCAGCACATATCCCCATCCTCTCACTTTTACATTCTTTCCACCCCCTCTTCCATGATGTTCTGAGAGCCTTGAAGGGGGTGACATGGACATCCTACTTAGGGCAGAGAATTCCATCATCACTTATCCTTGACACTTTAGCTAGTTATGGTTTCTACAATACTCAATAAAATTTCAAAGATTGATTCAACTATGTATTAGTAAGTGTGCTAGACCTGCTTTGTCCAACATAATAGCCATCTCTGACTATTTAAATAGAATTCAATTTATGAATCATATTTTTAAGTGTTCATACATTGTTGCTATTGGCTACCATATTAGGCACTGTGAATATCCAACATTCCCATCACTACAGAAAGTCCTGTTGAATGGCACTGTGCTCAATCCTTTGTAAACTTCTTTTCCCTTAATTACTCAAGGATCGAATTACTCAAGGCAAGGAATAGTGTTTTTATTTTGCAGATGAAGGGTGTGAGGTTCAGAAAAACTACCTGATCTCCCAAAGTCACGCAACTAGATTGGAACAAAGGTCCATAGATCTGCCTGTTTCTAAAACTTGTGGCCTTTTTGTTATAAAACAGTTTAATAAAAACTGAATTAATTTGAATAGTATTACCTATAGGAATCTGAAGGGAAAAACAAGTTTCAACCTAAAGAAGTGAGTGAATTTTCATTAACTTGCTGGGCCAGTCTGTGACAAATTAGAATCCAATAGAAGTTGTCTGCTACATATTCTACATTTCTAGAACCCAGTTTATCAAACTATGAGTGACCTACATGAATGTGGGAGTTGTAAAAAAAAAAAAAAACTTGGCAAAAGATATGCAAACATACAATGACCAAAAATTAATTCAAAATCAAATGGATAATGAATCTGAGGGTTTCTGCCAGTATCCACCCATGTTGCATCATGTGGCTCCATTGCAGGCTTGGTTCTAACACACAGCACTTGCACTTGGCACTGTGCCTGCTGTCCCACCATTCAGCATCAGCAAATTTTACAGAAATCCCAGGGCTCAGATTTGAGGCTATTTGTACTGTAATTTGCAGTCTTTTTATTATACATACAAAGGCTTTATAATTTTATTAAGACATGCTTTAGCTACAAAAAAACATTTTAATATTTTCCTATCATTCCTTAGCATGTATCAAATTAATATGTCTTCAAATTTGGTTACATTAGAATGCTTGATTTTTAAAACTGCTTTTTTAAAAAAGATATGCTTTTTTAAAAAGATATATTTTAGCCGGGTGTGGTGGCACACGCCTTTAATCCCAACACTGGGGAGGCAGAGGCAGGCAGATCTCTGTGAGTTCAAGGCTAGCCTGGTCTACATAGTGAGTTCCAGGACAGCTGGGGCTACAGGGAGACCCTGTCTCAAAAAGACCAAAAAAAGATATATTTTTTATTTTAT